CTTACCACCCATACTAAGAAGTCTTTCACATTTTCTTTTATTTGCAGGTAAGCGCTGAATATGTAATAAAAACTGAGGAAAATTTGCGGCAGTATCGTCAAGAGTGTGTTGCAGAACTTCAAGTACCGGACGAACATGTTCAGCAGTTTAGAAATAGGCAATTTCCCAATGATTCAATTACCCAGTGCTATCTTAAATGCATTTTTAATAAATTCCAACTGTTCGATGACGAAACTGGCTTCAATGTAGAAAGCATCCATCAGCAGCTGCAAGGTGCACAGGTAGCGCCTCCCGGCAATGCCGATCATGATGATGCTCTACACGACAAGATCGCCGCCTGTGTTGACAGCAATGAGCAGGGTTCGAGTGCCTGCGAGTGGGCCTATCGTGGCAGTGTTTGTGGCATGAAAGCGAATCTACAATTTATCAAAACAAATTAATCAAAAAATATTTAGAGGCCGCTCAAAGTTTCCCATATATTTTATAAGGGAAAATACTATTTTTCGTAGAAATGGTATAGAATTTTTGTAAATCAATACTTTTAATTTTGCAAGCTCTGTTTCTCTTCAGAGGAATTCAAAGAATAATACCCATTGATTTAAAAAATGTTTAATATTAAGAATTTTTACCATATTGTACAACTGAAATATTGAAATAAAATTTAGGTTGCATTAACAGGTCTATTCTTGCATTGGTAACAAACCTTTTTTTTGCCGGTAAATAAAGTTTCTGTACATTTTTAAACCGTTTTCGCATTCTGCGCACAGATAAAGTTCGCTACCATCTCATAAGCAGGTAACAAAATATTGCTCCGTGATATATGCAACATCAGAACCTGATTAGACTTTTAAAAAAATTACTTAAGGGTTGGAAGGCTTCCGATTTGTTAGACAGTTCAAAGCCGACCGAAGTGTTGCTCGAAAGAAAGGTTCGGGTAAATAGAAAGGAGATGTCAAATGTCTGTGAGAATCCGTAATTATATATATATTTTGAAATGGCGGTGGTCCACTTGGACCTGCCAGCAGCTTATGGGGAGGAATTTTCGCATCAGGCTCAAATCCTAACATATGCTGCGCCTTTCAACGTGAGTCAAACACAGCAAACACTCCAACGACTAACCTGCTAGGCCGAGCTCTACAAACAACTAGCCTGCTAGAGCATCACTAATGCAGAACACCGAACTGTATCATCCACAACCAGGGTTATAAAACTAAAGAAAGGGCTGCGCATTAGCTTTGTGCACCTCCAGCTTCCGAAGTTTAGCTTCACACATATCATCCAGCTATTTTTACCTATTAATACCAGCTGGGACAATTAACGACTTAAAACCCCTTATATTTAGATACCCAAATTTGGTGTAATGGTAGCTTCCAGACTAACCAAGCTTCTTAACGATACGTGGATCCAAGAAGTCCTGTAACCAAATGCGGTATTTTACCATAAATCGTACTTGCCTGCGGTAAATAACCTGCGGCAGTGACCTGCTCCCTTCTGTAAATATTAATCTAACCCAATCTACCACTGTTTTTACGCGAAATTCTATGAAGGTAAAATCATTTTAATAAATTGCTTATATTTTTGCAACTTAACCCAATATTTGTTATTTTTCCTGAGGGTAAAACGAGAGATGTTGTATTAAGTGCACCTTCTCCTATCTGTGTGGGTGTGTGTGGGTGTGTGTGTGTATGGATTTGAGTTGAAGTAGTCTGCCACAAGTTCATTGTCCACCATTATGCATTATGCAATAAAATATGTACATATGTATATATGTACGTATAATGATAATGCTGAGGGAAAGCTCTGGCAGATATGCAACAGATTTATGAAAGCTATGAATAGTACGCTTGAGTTAGCGCAAAGAACTTAAGGCTCTGTTATGCATACTTGGCATTGCATGCACTGCTATACCATTTTTACGTAGAAATCAAAAACCAACAGACTTTTACGTATGTAATGCTGTGCGTTGGGTAACCGCTTACACGCGAAGCTCATTTAACAGATTCCTTATGTGACAACTCTCAAGCAATGCCAAGTATGCATAACAGAGCCTTTAAGCTGGTGCATTTGCAAAAGTCACCATTTCCCCAGCTGTCACAGTTACAGTTATACACGCAAACATACATACATACATGGGATGTACTATACGCATACATACATACATATATGAATACTCATGGATGCTAGGAATAGTAGAAATTGTAAGAAATTAATTTACACAAAATCGTTCCGACCAGCGAATTTGAACATTTGTTCTGAATTCACGTGAAATATAGAATTTAAAGACACAGTTTCTCAGATTCTGTTTAAGTGTTGGATGTTAACCAGCCACGTGAAAAAAATTTCTAATGAAAAGAAAAATTCAGCCTCGGATAAAACCCCCTTCTTTTGATAACGTCCACGCCGAACGTAATACAAAGGACTACAGTTTGAAAGCATGCCTCCCGCATTGTATTTTTTTGTGGTTTTCGGGTGACCTATAAAAAAGGTTTAGATTAAAAGATGGTAAAATAAACAACTGTCAACCACGCCAACCTACACATATCATTCATTTAAGGGTTTTGTGTTGGCAAAGTAGTAGTTTTTATTTGGAAGCTCTTCGAATTCGTACATACAACGAATGTGTGGACTGACCGCAAAATGGCAGTATGGAAAGCCAAGCCGAAAACAACAATGAACTATGGGCCGTAGTTCAACGTGTATGGCAGTCAATAGCAAAAGCAAGATGTGAGCGTCTCGTGGACTCCATGAGGGATCGTTGTGTTGCTGTAATTAAAAATAAGGGTCATGCAACCAAATATTAAATAAATTTTTGGTCTAAATATTTTTATGTTCTTAAATTTAAGTTTTTTTGAATTCACTACTATTATATGTAGTGCTCTCACTTATTTCCATATAAAGTCAATATCACCTGAATTACTTTATTTAGTTCTTATGTAAACCAAACTTTTTTACTACGACTACGACTTGTATTACGACTATAAATATCAAAAAAAAAAAAACGGTGGAAAGCGATTTGGAAAAACCGGGTCAATCATTCACTATTATTTCTGTGCTCGCAGCTGTATCTACTTATGCATAGTAAGAGTCCCCCCAAGTATGTAATTTAAAACTTAACGTCATCTCCAAACATTTTACTTAAACTCATGACTGCACTGCTCTTTTCTACTTAAAAAAAAAAAAAAACATACATATAAGTATTATAAAATCGAATGGGCGGTTTTGCACCATAGCGCGTGCATTCTCTGCTCCTCTGTTGTCTGATTGTTGCAACATGCAACGCATGTTTTACACATTTTAATCTTATTTAAGTTGTACTACATTAGTTCAGTATTGCGGACGGAAATTTTGCGCTTTTGTCGAGTCATAGGAGGCTTATAAAGGTACATTCGGAAGTATGAGTTTGTGTTTAACTGTATGGTAGGGGCCAGAGAGCTGCGACGTGTAGCTCATATGTACAAATATGGGTATAAGTTCGCGAAAACTAGTAAATGAGTAGAAAAATAAATAGTATGCGGGGATTGAAAATAATTAAATTTCTCATTAAATTTAACTAGTATTTAAAAAAAATTAAGACATGGGAAACCATAATAGGTATGTATATCGATGGTTATCCACTGTGCAGTTTAGTACCGATGTTGATTTTTCAATGCATCGATGTTACTCCTTAAAATTTGAATCTCTACCTCACATAGTATACACAACTTTTAATACAGATGTTTTACTATTCTTCAGTTAATATTTTTTGTCTATAACTCTGAACATATTTCCAAATCACTTTTAATATGCTTTATTCGTAACAGAACGCCAACATCTTAAACAACATCATTCGCATACTACTTTCGATTTGTCATACATAGACGCACATTTATCAATGCATTCTATGTTAAGGCTGGTATGCAGCTCTCAAGAAATCGGTCAAGAAAAATTTGTCATTATTTCGTGTGTGTGTCCAAGGAATTTTGACATATTTGATACTTCATAGCCTGTCGCCTCACTCTTTCCCCAAGAAATAATGGAACGGGCATATATTTCTGTTGCAAACCTGCGTTTCCTTGTGCTCTTTTTTTCACAAAAAAACTTTAGAAAACCGTAGTAAAAAGTGTAGCAAATTTCTTAAGAACTGCGTACTGCCTGAAGGAAATTTGACTTATGAAAATTTCTTAGCCATTTCTTGTACGTCATTTTGTATGGAATTTTAGCTTTTCTTGAGACCTGCATACAGGCCTATACGTACACGTCTTACAGTGACTCAAACAAATGACCACGTGTAAATTTTTTTAATCTTCGTAATGTTTTTCAAGCAATTTTTTTTTTCTATATAATAAATATAAATCACAGTTTCAATCTTTACACAAAATTTAAGAAAATTCAACAAATTTTCATCAAAATTCCCGCTTTTAACTTTTATCCTTTAGAACATTTTTGAGTATGCAGTTTTACAGCACATACAATTTTAGTCTAACGAAGTGCAAGTTTGAACCGCCAAAAAATCGCGTTGATTTTTGTGATTTTTGCAATTTTACAAAAACTTAGTACTCACAAAAAGTGGATAGATGACGTGCAGAGTACGCGCAAAGTACATCACTTGTGCAGATCTCTGGTAGGGACAAAGGACAATAGTGTGCAGGCAACATACGCATGCGCTATTAGTCTCAATGCAGTAATTTTTCCAAAAATAATAAAATAAAATAACGAAAACATAGGAGTGGTATTCACCAAAGTGAGCAAGAGGCCTAGCAGTCTGGCAAAAGAGCAGCAGTGGAGTTCTGACAATCGCCACGTTATATTTCCATCGTCGAAATTCTCTAAATGAAATTCAGTGTAGCTAGTAGGATAAGGGGTATGTTACTAGGTGTTGCATGTTGGTAGGCGCGCTTGCTATTGTGGTATTTTTAGCTTTCAAAATTAGTGATAGCGAATGCTGGAATCCGTCCTTGCTTGAGCTCATCGGCTCTTTTGTCAGAGTGCCAGGTCACTTGTTCAATTTGGTGAATACCACTATTATAAGCATGTACAGCGAGAGAGGGTTTGTGAGAAACATGAAAAGGGCAGTTCGCCATTGTCAACTCTCTTCCGCTGTGCTTGTGTAAAAATTTTACATTGCAACGCATATTGTCGAAATGATGTTCTATAAATATGTTGATCATTTACCTCTGCTGATAGTAGTAAGAGCAGAGTTCATTGCTCTATGTAATAAGTAAGTTTTTAAATTAAGTCTTTAAAATGTGTGTGTTTTTTTTTGAGTATTTTAATATTAAGGAAACGTTTTCAATCAAAATTTCTTAACCAGTATGCAGAGAATAGAAAATACAAGACAAACTGCTTTTTAATGTGGTACATTACAATCGGGGTTGAATGAACTCACACACAGTGAACAACAAATTTCTTTTATTATGTACTCTACAGAGTGAACTCATGATTTCTTTTGTACTGAGTAGAGTGAAAAAACAGTAAGAATACAAAAAAAATTGATTCAATTCTCTTTATAAAACACTTGTTCT